GAACCTTGGCGCTGGCACTCAACCTGGCGGGCCGGCCCTGCAGAGGAAGCCCGAAACACTGCACACTGCTACTAAACCCTGAAGACCTAGCCTTTCACTGCGCGTAGCCTGAAGCCTCCTTGCTGGAGGCGCCGCCACGGAAATTCTTGGTAAATTCGTTGCGGAACGTGAAGCCCTAAACCCCAATCCCCAACTCTAAACCCGAACCCCCGACCCCCCGCTGTTCGCTCGCGGCTTGTGCACATCGTCTACGGTAAAACCATGGAGATCACCTCGTAAGGCTGGAGCTGCTTCTTGTCATGTGCTCATGAATCCTGTAATGCTGCCTCTTTAGTTCCACCGATCGAGATCACTGGAGGAGAAGGACCAGAAGGAAGAGAAACAGGACCCTCAGGAGGATGATGTTGTACATGTATACGGATGACAGTGAGGAAAAGGAATTTTCAAAAACGACGACATGCACGATTATATTGACGATGTAATGGTGATGGTGACGTCGGCGAGGATGACGGTGATGGTGATGATGGTTTTGATGACGACGGTTAAGGGAAGGATGGAAGTCGCAGTTGTGTAAGAAGTGACCGATAATAGTAGCATGCAGCAGTCTCAACGATCTTGATTATGTCCAGGATGTTGATAACTGTGGTGACGAGGATGATGCTTGCAGCTGTGGTGAGAGTGGTGGCGGTAGTGGTAACCCTGTGGTAAAACAAACTGAAGAAGGGGGATGACGGATGATCATGATGATGTGATGGCAGCGAAATGCAAATGCTGCAACTAGTAATCATGACGATGACGACGATATGCTGACAGGGATGTGCTCTCCTACATATCCGCTACAGTTATCATGGTGGCACCCGATCCCCGCAGCATCATTGATTCTCTGCAATGCCTCACAGTGAAATCAGCTCCACTCGTTTGAGGTGTTGGCGGTAATGTAGTTAGTTGCTTGCCAGCCTCCGAGCTCAAAACTGTCCGAGCCCTGCGTGGCAAGAGCTCGCCTGCATGGCGCTGCGAAAGATGGTCTGCGATTGGAGTCCTCCTGTAACTGTAGAAGGTTGCCCAATGGCTGTCCCTTACTCGCCAGCGGTGAACAAAAAAAACATTCCTCTCGCACGATTCCTGCTGCCCAAGCTTTGCGAAAAGCTTTCCGGCTAACAGCTTTCGTGCATCCGAGGACACCCCATCCCTGTAATCGCTCTGCAGGTGGCCAGGAAGCCGCAGCAGTGTAAACCAGAATGATGACCATCTTGATGGTCACTGTGCTTGATGGTGATCATGAAATTCGTAGCTATGTTCTGCACGGTAAGATCATGGCATTAGGGTCCGCACTTCATGCATAAGCATAGACAGGAGGCGGTGGTGGTGGCAGTGCCAGTAGAGCAGAGTTGCAGCAGTAACGCAGTAGCAGTAGCGACAGCATTAGCAGCAGCAGCAGCAGCAGCGATGGAAGTTGCAGTTGTCGTCGTCGTAGTGGTAGTAGCATTGGTAGCCGCAGTACAGAAGTAGAAGTAGTGGTGGTCGCAGTAGTACTAGTAGTAGTAATAGTAGTAGTAGTAGTAGTAGCAGCAGGAGTAGTAGTAGTAGTAGTAGTAGTAGTAGAAGTAGTAGAAGTAGTAGTAAAGCGCCATGAGCGGTTCAAACATGTGCGGGGGCTTTTAGGCATGTCGTTACACAGCACTGGACACCTGCGAGCGTGGCTAATTGAAGAAGTGGAGAGAAACCTGCTTAGCACACCAGCGAGAACTGTTTGCTGGGCAGAGCGGCTTGTGAGTGAGCTGTGGAGTGAGCTCAGCATACCAGAGCTAAAGCTTTGAGCTGTTCCTGTCGTGGTCCTTTAGGAATTATCCCGCTGAAACTATCGAAGCTGTATCCACTATTCTTCGGGAGCACCATCACAGCACGAGCAACGCCTGGCTTTTCCAGTACGAGAACCCCCCAAACTCTCATTCGGCTCAGCCCGGTCCCGGGTCCGGGAGCGGAGAGAAACATGATGACACAATCGGTTAGTACAGGCCGCTGGCGTGAGGGTTGGTCCTCACCCTCCGGAGGACCTGAAATCTCGGGGGCCTTGGTTCCTGAGATGAACACAGGAGGGGACATTGAAGCCGCTTCAGGTCAGACTGGAGCCTCTTTTTCCAAGATCCGTAAGCGATCATACAAGCGTGCAGTAAGACGTGCGCAACTGCAGGGCGAAACTATGTATAGGGGTCGCAGGCTTGTGTCCAATGCACCTATGCTTCCGGTAATAGAGGAGCAGACGCAAACACAGGCCAGGCGCAGAATTCGTTTTCTTTCCTGGAACGTGGGAGGGCTTTCAGATGTTCTCTTCACTGAATTACAGCAGTGGTTGCAGAAGACACAGAACAAGGACATCAATATTATCATCTTGCAAGAGACACACTGGGATTTTAGTGGTGATTGGTCAACCCAGGAGTGGCATTTTTGCCACACGACATCACAGCGCAAGGGCAGTGGAGGAATTTTAATCGGGATACGAAAGGTGCTTGCCAATGCACAGCAGATCCGATGGCATGAAGCGGAGCCGGGCAGAATTCTGCAGGTCAGATGCTTTCTTGACAAACAACAGGTTGATATCGTGGGGGTATATCAGTTTGCTTTTCTGCAAAAAGCTGGTATGTCTGAGACCATACTGGATCAGAGGAGACGGCTTTTGGCCAAACTTGATAAGTTATTGGCATCGTTGCCGGTCCGATCACAATTGATCCTAAGAGGGGACTTCAATGTCACCCTGACCCCGATGAGCAGAATTGCCGGATACGGATTGCTGCAGAGGGAGTTGTCGGAAAAAGAGAAGGCGGACCAGGATCTGTTAATACGACTGCTCCAACGGCACAAGATGTCGGCGCTCAACACGTGGTCCAAGAAGGGCACCGCTGCCACATACTTACATGCCAAGGGCAGTAGTCAGATCGACTATGTGTGTGCCAGGCAAGCTGTATCTGACGGGGACGCCAAGAAAGCGAAACCTGTGGTGACGGCGATGGCAGGCTGGAGAACCACGGGGCATCTCCCCCTGGTGGGTTCAATCCCACATCGATGGACGCCATGGGCCAAGCAGCATCGAGAAGGAAGGGCGGAGCCAAAGGCAGGGCCAGATCTCACGCAGCTGGGCTCATGGACGACAGAGAACCAGCCATGTGGAGTCAGGGAGCTTCGCGAGGCAGTGTCGCGCGCGGGTGGAGAAGCGCCAGAACGGCTTGTTCGGCCGGAGCTTGCGCCGGTGACTGATGAGATCAAGGGGTGCTGGAAACTACGAAGAAGGCTGCAGAATGTGCAAACGTTGCTTGGTGCTGGTATGGTCTTTGTTTTTAGGTACTTTAGGCTACGCATTTCTTACATGAGAGCGCACAGGCATCTTAAAAGGACCCTTAGAGCACGCAAACGGAGCCGAACATTGGCTCTGCTCCAACAAGCAGAGACGGCAGCTTCGAGGCACGATATGCGTGGTCTGTTTGGAGTGATCAACTTGCTTTGCCCTAGAAAGGGAGTGCAGCGTATCAGACTTCGGGATGATGAGGGGAATCTGATGAACGGCCTGGAGGAATGTAAAGTCCTCGCTGCTTATGCCCGGGAGCTTTTCATGGCTTCAAATAGCCCCAGGCTTCCGCTGCTACGCATCCCAGCGGAGATACTTGACATTCGAAGATGGCACCAGGCAGCCTCGAAGCTCAAGGCGGAGAAGGCAGCCCCGAATGCTACCCCACCGCTTCGTAACTGGAAACAGCACAGCACACTCATTGTCCCCCTACTCCATGCACAAGCAGTACATCATTTATGCAGTGATACACCTCAAATTCCTGGAGAATGGACGGAGGTGCAGCTGGCCTGGTTGGCGAAGCCGGGAAAGTGTCCAAGCAAGCCCTCCAACTTGAGGACCGTGGGGCTCATGGCGGGTGATACCAAGATGTTCATGACTGTCTTAAAAGAGGCGGTGCAGGCTGAAATCACGAAGGGCCTGTGGGATATTCCGCAATTTGCGTACCGAAAGCTGGCCAGTACAACGGATGCCCTGCTCAGGGGAAGCCTCCATTGTATACAGGTGCGAGCTCTGGCAGGCCAGGTCAACACAGATGTTACCACTCGACTGCTTACAGGGGCTCTTCCTGAACTTCAGGGGGGATTGATGATTAGCTTGGATTTGGCCAAGGCTTTTGATTGCATGCCGTTTGGAGTGATGTATGAGAGTTTGAGGGAGGTCGGAGTCTCCGATGCACTGTCCAGACTCATAGTGGAGACACACAGACAATCCGTATGCATCGTGCGCCATTGTGGTCATAGCGAGAAAGTTCAGATGAAGCGTGGACTTCGTCAGGGGTGTCCACTTGCTCCGAGCGTCTTCACGGCGTGGACCATCAAGCTATGCAGACTGCTGGGCACCGAGTGGTGTAGAGAACATACGAGTCTGTTTGCAGATCAGTGGGAGCTCATTCGCTCGAACCGTGATGCGAAATGCTTGAAATGTCAGCGAGCCGAAAACCCGAAGGGTCCCGTGAAGCGAGGCATCAACGAAAAGGCCGTCTGGGCCAACAGCGTCCCATGCACTCTGTGCCAGGTAACGAAAGTCGAGGAAGCATCCCCGAGGGCACAGCTGGCGCAGACGG